TCGGAAGAACCAGATCTTTAGGCTCCAGGTTCTTACAGTTTCAAGCAGTCTTTAAGATAAAAGCATTTCATCATGGGGTCTTTCAAAATCAGAGAAGGTATGGTGCTCTCTAGTGGCTTTTGCCTTCATCACAACATTTTCTAGGTACACTTTTCTATTTTAAAGGTTGATAGGCTGTTTGCAAGCTTGTTAGTAAGTGAGCAAAACTTCTGAAGATTTCAAGGTAAGAGTTATAACTTCAGAAATTAGTAATGAGATGAGACATGCAAATGCAAAATTTGAAAGTTCATAACAACGAGTTACTATTCAAGTTGAGAAAGATACTCAATTTCTTTATCTGGAAAAGGAGAATAATAAAATTACCGTGTATTTTCTCTGGAATTCAACTGTGTACTTCATTTACATTCCCCCAGTTATTCCATCATTTCTGTGACATAGGAAATAACAGGAAAGGATTCTTTTAAAACACAATAATACTTAATAGATTAAGAACATTCCCCCCATTTAACATTTATAGCAATTTAATTGGGAATGTGGAAAATGAAATTTTCAGAACAGTCCATATGGGGAACAGGTAACAAGAATATTCCTTTTCGACCTATTTATCCTCTAATTCAGTTTGTTTTCAGCCAAACTGCATAAGGCTCTCATTATGGTAGTCCAGTTCCCATACCCTTATTCCATTCAGTGGTCTGATATGGCTTTTGTCTCCTGCTGCTTGTCTCTGCCAGGCCTATGCTGTTTGTAACCTACATCACTGTTTAGGACCTTTGCTAGCAAGCATTCCTTTTAGGCATGGTCCTACATATTTGCTAGCCTGTCTACTTCCTTGACCCTGGCTAACCCTGAGCTTGCCCCTTCCTTCTTTTTTTCCTCTCTCCTGTCTCTTCCTTTCTCCTTCCTTCTTCCCTCCCTCCCTTCCTGTCTTTAGTATTCTAGGCAGGTGGGCTGAGGGTGGGGGAATAACAATAACAATAAATTGATGATGGCTAATATTTAGGGAATATTTAGTATATGCCAGGCATCGATCTAAGCTTTTTACACATATTTACTCATTGACTCCTCATAAAAGTGCTATGGACTAGGTACTATTTTTTTAAATTATTTTAAAAAATATTTATTTGGCTGTGCCAGGTCTTAGTTGTGGCACGTGGGATATTTTAGTTGCGGCATGTGGGATCTTTAGTTGCGGCCTGGGGGATCTGGTTCCCTGACCAGGGATCAAACCCGGGCCGCCTGCATTGGGAGTGCAGAGTCTTAGCCACTGGACCACCAGGGAGGTCTCTGGACTAGGTACTAATATAATCCCTATTTTACAGACAGATACAGTTACAGAGGTAACATACAGAGATGTTAAGTAACTGCCCCAAAGTCACATAATCAGCATTGTCTGGATTTAACAGGAAGTAGTCATTATTTAGTTTTCAGTATGAATATGAGTAGAAATTGTCATTTGTAACTGATAATACCATAGGAGACTAATCAATAGACTTTGAAGGCCATCCTAGGAAGACCATGTTCTAGGTTGCTTCTACCCCTGGTAAAGCTAAACAGTCATTACAAAAACTGTTGGCCAGGGCTTCCCCGGTGATGCAGTGGTTAAGAATCCACCTGCCAATGCAGGGGACACGGGTTCGAGCCCTGGTTCGGGAAGATCCCACATGCCACGGAGCAACTAAGCCCATGTGCCACGACTACTGAGCCTGTGCTCTAGAGCCCGCAAGCCACAACTACTGAGCCCGTGTGCCTAGAGCCCGTGCTCTGCAACAAGAGAAGCCACCACGATGAGAAGCCCACGCATCACAACAAAGAGTAGCCCCCACTCGCCACAGCTAGAGAAAGCCCGCGCGCAGCAACGAAGACCCAATGCAGCCAAAAATAAATAAATAAAACAAAACTGTTGGCCATGGAAGCTGCCTTTGAAACTAGAGAGTTCAAAAGGAACTACCCCCTGCTTATCTGAATCAGTGTAGTTGTGAACCTCTGGGCAGGTAAGTTGGGGTGGAGATGTTGGGATATCTTTTTCAACAGCTAAGTTTTAAGATCACCTATATTCCAGGAAGTTCTGGGTGTCCTGGCTCCCACGTTCCACGCTGT